CGGCGGCTCCGCGAGCGGCCGCGCCATTGGCTGCGGCCGGGGCAGCGCGGCGGGCGCAGCCAATGGGAGCGCGGCTTCCATGGGGCCTGAGTTATTAGACGGCGGGGTAAAAGCGCCGCGCGGCAGAAGCGGCCAAGGAAGGGCCGCGGGACCCGCAGCCATTTTTCTGCAGTGGAGCGAAATGGCCAAACTGGGCTTTTCCTTTGTTCCACAAAGAGGGGAATCCGCCATGTGAATCCGCACCGCGCGCAGTGGTGGGAGCCTCCATAGCGCGGGTGCCAGACGACCCACTGAAGAAGGAAGATTTATAAAAATAATGCCAAGCCCTTAACCAAAAAAAAAAAAAATTAATGCGGATTTTTTTTTTTCTCTCCTCCCTTATGATTCGGGATCCATCTTTGTCTTGTGTAACTAGGTCAAGGCACACCCTATGTCAGCAGTTAACAATTTCGAATGCCAACCAAAAAAAAAAAGTAAATACATGATTTTTATATTTTTTCGTTGTTTTGGGGGTTTTTAAGCTTTAAGCAGCTCTGATGGCTGAACAATAAATTTGAGAGATTTATCTCCTGGGTTAAACACTTGATTCCTGGCCATTTTTATTAACTCCTTTGGTGCTTAAAAGGTAACGTTTTAAATATAGGTATAGGAATAGTAAATTCTGGCAAAAAATAAGGCAATTTTACTATTATAAGCTTTTTTTCTTTTCTCTTATGTTGTAAGTACCCAATCCATTCTGTCCTTGCTAAGTGTAGTTTTCATGTTAATGTTACTGGAGTGGTCCTTATTGCTAAGCCTTCATTTGCATGTCTTATGTTTTTATCTGTTTAAACCAATTTATGCTTTTTTGAAATATTTTACTTATAAAGCAAAATACCTAGCTAAGCTATGTTTATAAGTTGTTTAGAACCAGTAAATGTTAACTAGGTGTTTTCACACTGACATGTGCAGCCTAAAACTATTGAGGAGAATATTTTTAGTGTCTGCGTGCTCTGTGGAAAAACACTGAACGTCCTTTTTATGTACAGAGTAAATCTGCCACAGGAAGGTAGATTTAAGCCTTGAGCAGGAGTCCTCTCTGCGTACGGTCAGTCAACATAGCTGGACAACTTTTTCTATAGCTTTTTTCCCCTTTTTTTTTCGTTTTTTGATGCTAGACCACTGCCATACAAAGATCCATAACTTATCTTAACAAGATACGCTCTGGCTTGCAAACTTACGAGAGAAGTGGTGATACAGATCATATATATTTATAGCCGTTATTTTAAAAAAGAGTAACAACTTCACCTTCAGAGCTGCATTCAACTATGGTGCGCGGGTAAGTAAGTAAAACCCTTTTGCCCTTGCAGAGGAACATATAGCCCAGGCCTGTGGCTAATGGTATTGTCCTGGGTGGAAAGATCCCAATGGTCGTCTGAAAGCGGTGGCGATCTCCTTCTCCTCAGAAACATCTAACAGTGCCTCTGAAACGTCTGTTCTCAGGGAGGGATTTGATTTCTCTTTCTGCACAAAGCTCTTGGTCCGTCCTCAGCCCTGGGTGGTTTGGTTTTTTATGCGGAGAAACGCTGTGGATCCATTGCAGGCGTTACGTGGCTGTTAACTTGAAAGCACCAAAAAAATAAAAAAATCTGCCTGTGAAACATTAAGATGTTAGTGAGGTTGACGTTAAAAAAGGCGAGAAGGCGGTGGTGGTGGTGGTAGGGATCCCTTACATGTTTTATCCGTCTAATTACAGAAGCTCGACAAAAAACAGGCAACAAAATGGGAGGGGGTGTTTTTCACGACGGTGAGTCTTAATGGCGGATGTCTCACTAGAAAGCACTGTAAAATCCTTCATACCGAGAGGCAGTGACTTGGAGAGAGGGGGGGAAAAGGAGGTCTGGAAGTAAATCCAAAATGAGGGAGTTTCCTTCCAAGTGAGGGACCCTTTGCAGCCTGAGTGTTACAGATGGAGGAGCCGTGACGCAGTTGATATTCACAAGCAGTTGTGCTTTAGTGCCGCCACCCAGCCCACGAAATGGCCTCCCCGCCGAAGTCTGGTGGGTTTATTATGTGAGAGGCTGCGGCAGCACCGTGTCCCGGGCGGCGGGAGGGGCGGCCGGCGGGCGGGCACGGTCCCGGTCGTGCTCCGTGCTGTGTGGGGACAGCCGCCATCATGGCTTCTCCTTCCCTTCGGCGTCCTCCTCAGCGCGGCGCGGCGGGCTCTCCCCCGCTGCCTGGCGGCGTCCCGAGCGCTGCAGGGAAATGGTGGGTTTGGGGTGGTTGTTGTTTGTTTTTTTTTTTCTTTTTTATCCTTTCTCTCCCCTTTCCCGCCCCCCCTCCCCTTCCCCCAGCGCTTTGTGAGGGGCTGTGGAAGGGAGCGGCGGCTCTTTCTCCCCGCGCACAACATGGCGGGAGCGCCCTGCGGCAGCGGCTCTGGCGGCGCTCCAGCCGGGGCGGGGGGGGGGGGGGGGGGGCGGCCGGCCGGGAGGACAAAGGCAGCTCCGATAAAGCCGGCGCAGCCCCGGTGCTATAAATAACGCTGCCCTTCCCCCGCCGCAGCCTCCCGCTCGCTTTATAAACAGCAAAAGATGGAAGTCGCCTAGTGCAGAGAGGAGGGAGGGGGGAGTTAAAGAGGAACAAACAGCGGCTCCCCACAGGCAAAAAAATAAAATACACAAAAAAGCCACCAAATTCAAAGCCTGGGCAGTGTGGGGGGACGGGGGGCAGCAGCAGCGCCGGCCGCGGGAGGGGCCGGGCGGCGCCGCCGCCTCCCCGCCTGGAGCGGGTGCGCCGGGGGAGCGCGGCCGCCGCTCCCGTCACATGGCTCTTTGTTGTTCTCCTTCTCTGCCCCTCCTGGGCTGTTCTCCCCCCGCTCCGCCATCGTCGAGCCGGGGCAGCCGCTGCCCTGCCTCCTCCGGCCTGCAGCGCCGAGCTCGCGGGCCCGGCTGTGCTGCAGTGGAGCCGCCATGGCCCGCCGAGGTGTTACATGTGCCGTCTTTTTTTTTTTTCCTTTGCCTTTTTTTTTTTTCTCGTCTCCTGAGCAGATTCTGCTGCAGCTCAGCTTTGGGTGGAGGCTGGGGGTTATCTCGGAGCTTCACAAGCCTCGCTGTGCTCTGCGGGGAGCTGCAGCTCGTGCTCACTGCAGACCCAGAGTAGGTGAGCCAGGAAAGCCTGGCTTGACCAACCACTTCAGAGGGCAGGACAGGGAGGAAAAGCAAACACTGTAGAGAGGTGGCCTCCCTGGTAAGGCTAGAGCAGGACCGTCCTGCGGACCCTGAGGGAGGGAGAAGGTAAGTGGCTGCTTGGCAGAGGCTGCCTGCGGGAGCGGCATGTGCCGGGCAGGGCGCGCCCTGCCCGCAGTTCCTGCGGCTCAGAACCAGCCGCTCCGTGGGTTTGTACAGCCTGTGCTGTGGTATGTGCCGAGGCTCAGGGCTGTTCCCCTGCGAGGGAGAGCACTGGGTGCTGCCGCGAAGGAGGCACCGCAGCCCCGCGCCTTTCGCAACGACTGCGCTCATCGCTCCATTCCTCGCTCCCCCCCTCGCTCCTCACCGGGTCAGGCTCTGTCGAGAACAAGCGACAAACCGTCCGCACAAAACAGAACACGTTTCCATGGAGGGGGAAAAAAATACCAACAAAAACAACCAACAAAAGCGTTTCCGCAGTGCCAGGCTGGCTCTGAAGCGCTGCCTCAGCGCTGTGAGCCCCGTCGGGGGCTCCGGGGCCGGGGCCGCCCGAGCCGCTGGAGCCAGCGCTGAGCCTGGGTCACAGCGGCTCTCAGTGACCATCTGCCAGCAAAATCGGAAGGAACGGTGACGTTATTCTTAGCAGAACACCATTAAAATGCTCCTCTGGTATTTCTCAATAGAGGTGAAAAGCATTTCAGCTTCCTGGAAATGGCCGAAGCTGGCGACGTGTAGATCAAAGTACGGCGCAGAGCTGGGCTCGGCTTTGCAGGGGGGTTTGAACTGTAGTGAAAACGTTTCTGCAGCTTGCATCGTAGTGAGTTAAGTCAGCACGTGAAGCGATTAAAAAAAAAGCAAGTTTTAAACAGCATCGGGCTATTAACTTTCCTGGGATTTAAAATTTATTTTTAAATATATATTTGGCTGTTAGCAATACCTGCATTTACGAGTAACATTGGTCTGTTTAACCCTGAAGCAAACCAGCTCTGCCTAACGCAAGGCTTTGAAGCGACACAGCCAGACCATAATACTGTGGGAGCTTAGACAGCTTTGTCTGTACTTGCATCTCTCTGCATATTTTTCCAGGACTCTGATCTTTGTCTGCGATTAATCATTGTCCAGGACGGCTGTTCCCGATGGTAGGATCCATGAAGTGCTCCAGCTGGGAGAGGTCCTAACGCCTGTGCCTGGCTCTGCGTACGTGCAAACCAGGGCCAGAAATTGCTGGGGCAGCAGGGGCTGGACAGCGAGCCCGCCGTGCCCCCCCAGTGAATTGTATGGGTCCTCAGCACTTCTGGAAATGGTTTTTGTAAGTCTGAGATGAAAATTTCTTTCCGTTTTTTAGAGTTTCTGAATGACTATAATGTTCAATGTAGTTTAAAAGTCGCCAAGGCAGTTGAGACCGGTTGTGCTCTCAGAGTGGGTGGTTTCATGGCTGCTGAACCTCGTATCTGAAAAGCAAAATGTTCTGGTACAGCGTGTTTAAATCCCAGAAAGGGCAAACCAGACTTTCATACTTGGGTTAGACTGACCCTGGTGTGCTGCATGAGGCTCTTTAGATAAAGAAAGAGATCTTTCAGGGAGAAGGAGAAAAAAAAAAAGGTTTTTTTTCTCTGAACAGCTTGTGGTGACTCTGTGCACATTCTTGAAGCAAAGGGGTTTGTTCTTGCCCACAGCGTCCCTCCCCGGCATTGTTGAGTGGAAAACTCTTATGCTAATTATATCACTGTCTGTTATCAATAAGAAGTGATTTAATTTCTTTGGCAAAGTGTTGCAACAAGAGCAAATTAGATTGAGAGGCAAAGTGAAATAAAAAATATGCAGCTGTTCTGCCAAACAATGATCCTGACTGTTTACAACATTTTGTTTTAGACTGCCTTGTACACAGAATCCTTTATATTGAAGCTTTTCAAGTCACAATCCATTGCTTGTGCAAGGAAACTAGATTAACAGATTATAAAAGACAAAAGAGACCAAGGTTCATCTGGTTCGACTTCCTGCATTATGTAGGTCTTGGGCTTTTTGTGAATTTGTTGCTTTTTCTCATTTGAGAGAATTTAACTGCAGCATGCCTGCATCTTAGATAAAGGTCAGATTTTCGTTTTAAAATGGGCTGTGAGAGGGAGTAAAATAAGAGTGAATTTTTTCCATCAAAATCTACCTGCCAGACTAGAAATCAAAGTACCTTTTTAAGCTTGTCTAGTTTCTGTTTTCAGTTTCTGGATGTCTCTGCTCTTCAGTCTGCTTGGTGGAGGAATGCATCCCTGTGTAGCTGTGCTCAGGCTGAGCATTTAATACTCCATTGCAGACTGCAGAGCTCCCCCACGGGTCCATCTTTACTAATCCTGGAATTGTTCCTGCCTGTGAACGCTACAGTTTGTCACCATTTTGATCTGGGCAGAAGGGGACGGAGCCCTCGGCAGGGATCAGACCCAAGCCAACAGCTCTCCTGGCTGAGCTGTCTCTGTCAGGAATCCAGGGATTACACCAGCCCATGTTCAGCTGGTTTCCCAGCACGGCTCCTAAAATACTCTCAGATCTGCTCCTTCTTAGGATGACAACCCTGTGCTGTAGGTTTGTGCTCTTTGTTCTGCATGTATGGCTTTACACTTGTTCCTCCTGAAAAGGACAAGCCCTTAGCGTTCTTGCTTGCAATGGTTTTTGGGTTTTTTTTAATTATTTTTATTTATTATCCCCTCCTGCTACTGCTAAATGTCACCTACAAAGTTGGTTGGTCGTGATTTTGTATTTTCTCCAGATAAACAACTGGTTGTGTCTCCACTGTGGGTGTTTCCTGGTTCCGGGTGTGTGTACACACACCTCAGCCGTGTCAATATTGTGTCAGGAGGAGGTCTGGTTGTACAACATCCCTTGCCACACCCCAGTTTCATGGGAAGAAAGCCCAGCTTAGGAGCTGGAAGGGAGCCAGGAAGCACACTGCAACGTTTGCTTGCCGTGGTGTCTATTATGTAGCCATTAAATAACCTAAGGCCCAAAACAGGTGGTTGCAGACCCCTAAAGGAGAGGTGACACCTCTAGGACACCGTGGTTACAAAGTGCATTTTGAGACCTTCCTGTTAGATGGTTTTTTTTAGAGGCGGTGCCTCTACTATGTATTCTCTACTCAGCTGTTCGTTCAAGACCTAAATACATTTGAGACTCCTTCCCCACTGCCAAATTTGATTGAGATTGGAGGGGGAAAATGACATAGAACTACACAGTCACATTAGACAGTTTTATTTTTAGGAAACCAGGCTAAGAATATCGAAGGAATATTGAGTAGGAATATGGACATGGTATTTGCCTGTTCAGTTTTTCTTGCCATGAAGTTTTCCATTTCTTCCTGAGAACAGCAGATGATCTGTCTAGGGAATTGTCAACCAAAATAAGCAACCTCCTGACAGATTTCACCTGTGTCCCAGCATGCTCTGAGGGTATATGGGATGTGAGCCTTGAACAATGACAGGGAATCACTA